ATGTAGAAACTGCAGTTTCACTGGCATGTGAAAATCGGCAGAGCCGCCAACATGTCTTTCAGACTCCCGATAAGGATGACCTTCTGGCAAATCGGAACCAGGCCTCCATAAAATTGCTAATCCTACACACTCAACACCAATCACACCAACTTGAACAATCTACTTGCGATGACACAAAGACACGTAAAAGTGCACAAACTCTGCGTCATCGGATTGCCTTCGAAGAGGAACTGGCCAGCTTGCGAGCTGCCCAACGCGAGTCCAGCAGGAATGGCCCAAAGGGGACTGATCCGATGGTCGTCTGGGAGACAACGTCTAAGCTGCAGCCGCACAATCAGCAACAAATTGACCGCCGTGCCTATTTGGAACGAATGGATCAAGAGGCTTCTGGTGACTCGAGCAGAGCCACCGTTCTAGCAAATAACAGCGATTCAGCGCTCTCAGTGCCAAAGGATACCGTGAGTTGTCGATATGAATAATATGAGAATAATATGAAAAAAAATAAAAATATACCATTCATATTCAGCTAACAGGTTTTCGATACGATCAGGGAACCTTGAATAAGAATTCTATTTTGATGAACTTTTGTGCAAGATTTAATGATAGCCTTAAAAGCCTATTTAATCTAAATTGAAAATCTCACAATACAATTGTGATTCCCACTGGGAAAGGTGAGGTCAATGCGTCAAGGATGAGAATGTGTGAAATTCAACGAAAATCTAAGTATCACTCATAGGATTGTAAAAAATTCAACGATCACTTCTTTACCACCTTATGTGACCTAGGTTAACCAGAAGTCTCATCCGGATCATTTTTGCCTCTGAGCCTCCTTCAACACCGGGCATCGAGGAACAATTAGTAGCTTATGAGTAGTAAAATTCAAGTAGTGCTGAAATTTGGACGTTCTAGGCCGCCAAAGCTGACTCATGGATTGGTCATAAAGTTTTCCCCAATCGTTATGACTACGCCGTACCTCTTACATGGTTTTGCAAATGGGATAGACCATAATTTTGGTCTCGCTTCTGTCTCATAAGAATAACCCAACGAGATTCGAAATCGGGTCATGCGTACAAGGTTGGAACTGCAGTTCAACTCGGATAAGAAGACCTTTTGAAATACAACTTACCCACATCTCCATTATCACACCTTAACTCCCCCTAAGCGACCTTGGATAGCTAAGGTCCTATTTGGCAGGTACAGATATTTTCACTCCATAGTCATCTATCGTGATGGCATATACATGAATGCGAGCTATACTCATCCTATATTGCATAAGGACATAGGTTAAATTTCCTCTGAATGTTTCCAAAATGGTATTCCCATAGAAGGTAAACTGCATTTTACACTTTGTATGGGCCTCATCCGTATCCATAATGGAAATCAAAGCCGAGTTTTGGTAGCGGAGCGTATCACTTCGGCGTGGTACCATCAGGCCTCCCTGTCACGGGACAGACACAAATTTTAAGGCAAGTTAAAACTATTCTTGAGTGTAGAGTTTCGAGACTGCCAGTAAATCAGTAATATGAGATGTATTCACCCAATTCCGTTGAAGATAATGAAGGAATGGTAGTAGAATTGTTCCACAATGACATGACGTTTCCCTTAAATTTCACACAGCCTTGTTTTCCCAAAAGAGTGGACTGCAGTTTCGACCCCGCAGGGAGGTCTTATCAACTTTCCCAGCGGGACTCTAATCGTAACGAGGCAGCCTGCGAGCTTGACACGCCAACCACTCGGCCACGTTGCCACGAATGCCGTTGAGTCACAGGGCGGATGTGAATTTCAAGCAACGCCAGGCCTTTCCCATATCACATTCTTTGGTGGGATTGTTTTCTATTTCACATTTTTATCCTGGTATTGTCGATGAAGCAAACATATATCTGAAGATATGAAGATCAAGATGTTATAACTGCTGGTATGGTCGCAGTCTCCTTTCAATTTTGAGAATGTATCAAGTCCACTGTCTGATGCTGGGAATCATGACAACTACTATGGTAGACGACTTTGGAGTAGATGCGTTCTACTAAGTCTCCCTGACAACAGGACCAAGTTGCGACAACGAGGTCAAACCATTTCTACTTACATGATAAATACTGATAGTTTCAACTTTCACTCAATAGCAGATACATGTTTGACTTTTCGGCGCTATGGAGAAGGCACAGGTTGTCTTGCAAGTCACAGTGCAACTAGTAGCTACGTGGCCGAGTGGAAACATGTACACAAAACCCTCTCAACTCGATAGATATGAAGACGAAGATGGTGTGGCCTTCTATTTGGTCGCAGTCTTCTTCATCCTTACAGATTTGGCTCGATCTTGTTTTCGCAACTCGGTCGGAGCGTCAGGCAACTCGAGTCTGAATCGGGTTTCCGGCCACCTGGGCGGTGTTCAACCTGTACTTCGCCAAAGAGGAGAAAATATTTTTCTAGGCAATGGCATTGTG